GGTTTTTTTAATATACGTCCGTGGTGCGCCCGTGCAAGCTATGGACTGAAGCCCTGTCCCGTACAGAGGCGCATGTGTTACTCCCAGTTTTATATAGCCGTAGTCCCTTGATTTGGACGCTTTCTATTTGTCAGATGATGACGCGTTGAGGGTCATCCGGATTTGGGGCATAAAACTGGCACGAGTTAGGAGAGGTGATTGTGTCAACGGCAAACTGGCTGCTCAATGACAAGAATACATCCATTTTCGAGTTCCCTAATGACCCAGTGATGATAGTAAAGTCACTATTTAAAACAGTCTGTTGAAAAATGTATCTGCTTTGACAGAGTAACTCATCCAAGATCCGGGGATCCTGGTACGGATGATGCAGAAAGCATCCATCGGCAAGATTCCGCGATCAGGCCATGGGCTCCGAGAGGCCGCAACAAGTGACGAAAGAGACGCGCCGAGTTTCTCACCTCTGCAGTCCCAAAGGGTCTGACAAAATACACCCAACACATCTGCCGAGCCACGCCATTGGGGCGATCAACCCGCGAACCAAATGGAAATTTCGTATTTTGTCACCCACACAGACGGATTACTCAATCTAAAGGATATTCCGTTCAACACATGAATGAGACATGTTTCCCCTTTGTTTCCTGCTTTGGCTGGGTGGCATATACCTCCTAACCCCCCCCCCTAAGAATGGGTTTTGGGTACATTCCTTAGGTACGAGGCATGAGAACCTTTTATGACCGTTGTCTTGATAGCAAAACGCACTGACAGATGGAACAAATTAACTTTAGGGCATATACATAAACACCAGGATGAACTGAAATTGTCGAAAAATCCGCAAAAGCCAAGATCTAATATTGTTGGCCAGTAACGGGAGTATTCGTAACCCGATGAAAATCCGGTAACTCTGGATCAAGTCACGTTTTTGTTATCCTTCGTGGCAGGGCGACCACCCTTCCATCTCCCCGAGCCTTCTGTTTCCTCACAATGTCTGAAAATCCATTGATTAAAAAGCAACATTGGAAGTCACGAACCGTAAACCGAGACTGAACCCGCCACCGATATAGAACTGTTCGCAACAACAAGTTAACAGCCGCTGACTCAAAGTTGACTTACAGAGCATCCCTCAAAGGGACTATGAATAGAAATAGTTTGCTAAATTTTAATAAGACCCTTAGAATTCCACCTTTCGGTTTCAATTAACCTCATTTTAGCCCATCTTTTTGAGCTTTTTTTGTTTTATGCTAATGCAGGTTTGCATATTCATGACCAAGGCTATGACGTCATCGAAGGCCTCAATGTTGCACTGATTTGTATACAGAATTTTTTTTTAAATTTATATATATATACTTGAGGTTCGGAATTGACTCGACTTCAAATATTCTAACACTATTTGAAAATGCTCATTGCAGCCTCACTCTGACTATCATTCCTCACATTACGATTGAAAACCGTACCTAAGAGTTTCCAATTGCCGACGGTCAACAATAATTATGCACTGATTGCGACAAACAGATTATGTGTTGAATCTCAAACATTCGGACACAGGCTCAGCGCTGGGACTGTATTATGAGCATGGCAGAGTCCAGCGGCAATTACGTCTCGAGTGGGTTTAGACTTGAGCTTGTCTGTCTTCACCTGAATGGGAGGTTATGATCCCCCGATGTTCCACGGGATGATGGTGTCTGGTCGACTATCTAGCCATCATCTAGACATGCGTGGAGCCGAGCGAAACAAGTGGCTACTCCAAGACTGGAAATTCACTCGGGTCCACCGACCTTATTCTTTGGCATGTACAGTACATGGTGTAATTTCTTCAAGCCCTAATTGGGTAGAGATCTTATGAATAATGTTCCGATTGAGCCCAATGAGTCACTTGACCTATAGCAGGTATCAACAAACATGGCGTCCCATCCCATAGCAAAGTGTGTGTTAAGGGTTCACCAAATATGAAGCTGATTTTTAGTACAGCACCAGCACATCAGAAGTCTGCGCACTGAACCGGCTGTCATCTTTATTTTTGGTAAATGACACTTCATTTAACATTTTGGCGTAGGGGACGCCATGTTTGTCGATATTTGATGCCCAGAATAGGTCACGTGACATACTGTGCGTAATTACCAGGATGTGAGTATCAAGAACATGCTAAATGACATCCATCACAGACATACAGCGATTAAGAAACGACCCACAATGCAAATTGTAGAGGGATTATCCCCTCTCAATGCCCTGTGTAGGAGCGGTGAGCACGAGAAAGGATTAGAAATTGCACTACAAGAATTGGTATGGTGTGGTTATTGTTTTTTTGTTCCAAGCTAAGAGGGTGTTCCATTGTTTTGTGAGAGAATGATTGAAGGTTTGCATGGTTTGCGGTTCACGAAGACGCCATGTGAATTATCTCTTTCGTATGT